TCCATTTAAACAATTCCACGTACGCGAATTAGTTTATGGAAATTGGTATTGATTTTATAGAGAACTTAGCAAACTCATTAGCAAATATGTCCCTTCAAAACATCCCCAAATTTGATCATATATTGATCGACACTATTCCAAGTTTTGGCGGTAACCCCGCAGAACTAAATTCATTTATTTCAAGAGTTAGGGAAATCAAGAATAGATATCATGACAGTAGTAATCCGACATGTATACAGAACGAAATTATTAGGAGCGCAGTTTTTTCGAAACTATATGACAATGCTAAATATGCTATAGAAATTGCCAATGCTAGAGAAATAGATGATATAGTTAGGGTACTAATATCAAAATTTTCAGACCGTGGAGATGATATATCTTTAACTTTTGATCTCCATCATATGGGACAATTACCAAATGAAACCGTTTATCAGTTCTATGAAAGATTTCAAAATTTGATTACAATTTATAATAATTATATATACTTACACCTTACAAACAAAGAAATCATCCTAGATAGATGCAACAACTTCCAAAAAAGCGCCTTGGCTGTATTCATAGCACACGTTAAACAGCCGTACAGTTCACTTCTCAGAAATCGTAACGTTTTGTCATTAGAAGAAGCTTTAAGGATTATAGAAAAGGACGACTATGTTAGTAGTGTTAGAGATGACTCAGACCACTTTAGATACAATAGTAAAAGTAATAGTAAACCACAAAGTTATCAGAAAAACGGCTCCAATTTTGCACTTCCTAGAAACTCAAATACGGCAATTCCAAATTATAAGAGACAACATCATTTCCAACCACATTTTTATAATCCACAAATGTTCCAACCAAATAGCTTCCAATCAAATAACTTTCAGGCAAACCAAATGACTCAACAACCATTAAGACCTAACCAACAAAATTCCCCATTTCCAAATCAAACGAACAATACAACAAAAGGTTCTGACTGGACACCTATGAGTGGTGTATCAACTATTAATTCCGCAAATAACAAACAACGACATAACAGACTCTACAATTTAGAAAACATTGATTCAGAACAAGATTCATACTCTGACGAACCACATGTGGATTTTCAAACGGACGAACAACGACAAAATCAAACATAGTTGAATTTCACAGTTTTCAAAATTATTCTCTTCCTTATATTCAAATAAGTAATCCAGACCTAAAAATTTTAATTGATTCAGGCTCAACGAAATCATTTATTTGCCCAGAGATTGCTAATAGATATTTCAAAAGTTCCATTTATTCTGACCCCTGTACAATAAAAACAGCTCTATCAACGCACACAGAAAATTTTGCATGCATCATCCCAAGCTTCAGTGAATTCCAAAATAATGAAAATCTTTCATTCCATCTATTTAAGTTTCACGAAACCTTCAATGGGTTGTTAGGAATTGATAACCTTAAAAAATTGAAGGCGCTCATTGATTTTAATAATGAATTGCTAGTATTACCTAATACTAATTTAAATTTACATTATTTGAAAAGTCCAAAAAAAATACTTTTTAGTTAACAGATAGCAGAAAGATGCATTCAAAAATGTAAAGTCCCAGTTAACATTAAAGAAAGTGAAATTCTAATTACAAAGCAAAATTTTCCTAATTGTTTCATTCCAGATACCGTAACATTAGCAAAAAATAATGAAGCCATAGTTGAAATTCATAACCTAACAGAAAATGAAATTAACTTAACATACACTAAACCTTTAGAAACTGAATCTTATAATTTTTCCACGAACAAACCTGATTCACACGTAGATTTCCCACATACTGAAAATTTAATACAGACAGACTACACAAATTTTGAAGAGAAAAATGCCACTATACCTGTCCACACCAAATTTTATATATACCCAAACATTTACCGTCAAAAAGTAAAGTACAAGTCAGATCGAATAGTGCCTAAATGCAATACATTATTTTCACCGAATGTTGTTTCTCCAAATAAATCGCATAATATGATTTCAAATTTCAGAAATTATAAGTATAGGAAAAAATGATTCATTGAATTTTCACCAGTAGGAATAAATTGATGACTCTCGAATCACGCCTAAGGTTTCACGATACAAAAAAAAAACTGACAAATTTTAGTTAATTTTAATAGTACTTTGAATGAATTTAAAAATATCATATTTTATTATATTGCGTTAATTAATACAAATAAATTAAATAATTTTCAATATTGAGTAATGAATTAGATAACGAAGTCAATGAACATGATTACGTTGCTATTCATCCATTTCATTTATTATTATTTTTGATATTATATTTTAAATCTTAAATATTCAATATTGTTATGAAACATAATGTATTATGATAATCGAATTATAAGAATGCTTTTCAATTTTGAACTCAAAATTAAGCTACGAAAATATTTAATATCATTTTAACATAAATTTGATTAATTATATTTTTATCATATATAAATATCAATTGAATGTTTTATTATCGCAAATTGAGAGAAATTGGTATCAACGCATATGGTATCCAATTAATTCAAACAAAATGTTTAACTAATAAAATAGAGTAGGTAATAGCAATTGTTACTATAATATAGAGAATAAATTAATAAAAATAATTTAAAAAATTTAGTACTAGTAATAAGTCTTTTGCGTTGTATGTCAACGATAGGGAATATATTGCTGACATTACAAACATTTTAACTTCTACTTAATAAATATCTTAATAATCCTAAATTAAATGTAGTTAGAGTTCTAATGTTATTTATTTCTCATTTTGGTGTTCCTGATACTTTAATTATGGACAATGGTCCTGATCTAAAATCTTCTGCCTTACAAGAATATTTGAAAATGCATAAAATTAATATCCACTACATAACTCCTTTACATCCAAATTCAAATGGACCTATTGAATGATTTCATTCTGCTATTCTAGAACATATACGTATTCTCAAACGCAAAAATAATAATCTTAGTATTCTTGACATTATCCCTTATGCTATTAACGGTTATAATAGTTCTATACATTCAGTGACAAAATTAAAACCATTTGACATTATTTCAGGTCATCTCTCTACGAGATCTTCTTTTGACATAGACATAGAAATTCTTACAAATTATTTAGAAGACCACAAACAACGAACAAAGTTAATGTATGAGAAATTTTTTGAAAAGAATTATAGCAACAAAGACAAAACAATATCGAAACATAACGAAACAAGACATGATCCTTTGCAATACGACGAAAACACACGTGCATATTTAAAATCAAACCCGCGAGACAAAACCGCTTCACGTTACAAACAGATACAAGTACAGAAAGATCTAGGAAATACAATTCTTACTGACAAGAATATTACGATACACAAACAAGAACTCAAACGTCCAAAAACTAATACTCAGCAAATCCCACGCGAACAAAATGTTGTTGTTTCAACTAATTATATTACACCTAGTACTAGCAGCAAACAGTGATCAAATTTTTCTTCAAGAATTAAATACAACTGGAATTTTGCCTTTTGAATTAGGAAATGCAAAGTTAATCGAAAAATATCATATTTTTATTCATTATGTTAATACAGATTTGATTAAACAACAGATTACTAATTTGGTTACAGATTTTGATACACTTTTATCTATTTTAAATAACAAACATAACGATTATTTGAGAAGATTAGATTCATACATTTCTCTGACAAATACTATGATTAATGTTATTAAAGATAAATATAATATTATTAGACCAGTTAGAAGAATTAAAAGAGGACTTATTAACGGACTAGGTAGCGTAATTAAGGAAATTACAGGGAATTTAGATGCACAAGATGCCAAAAAGTATGATGACGCTAACGATGAAATTTATGCAAAAACATTGAATAAACAAATGACTTTAAATAACAAATTAATTAAATATTTTAACGAAACATTAATTAACATTAGAGAAAATGATCAAGTACTAAATAAGAAATTGAACGATATTAACGATTACTTGAAATATGGCAGTTTTAGCCATAATGAATATTTTATAGCTAAAGATAGTTTAGAACAAATTAATTATAGTTTAGTTATTTTAGCAAATATTTTGAACGATTTAGAAATATCATTAGATTTAGCTAAGATGAATTTAGTTCATAACTCAGTAATTAAATTAGATGATTTGAATTTTATGATTAATACTGTAAAGAATTTATACTATGTAGAATCATTACCATTTCCCATAGACGATAGTAATCTTCACAAATATTATAATTTACTTAATATTCAATATTATTACACAGACGAAAAAATTGTTTTTCTTATCAAATTTCCAATCACTTTACCTGAAACCTTTAAACACTATAAATTATACCCAATTCCAAATACAGAAAATAGAGTCATTATTCCACCAAAACCTTTCCTTACATTTGGCAACAATAACTATCAATTTGATGATACAAATTGCAAAGAAGTTTCAGAAAAATACTTTTGCAATATTAGACACATATTATCAAACGACGAAGAATGTATCATAAAATTATTACAACTAGATAACACTCACATCAAAACATGCAATGAAATTCAAGTCAACATTACACACAATATTATAGAGAAAATAAATAACGCACACTATATTCTTTTACTAAGCACACAATCAAGAATCGATATGATTTGCAATCATCAAGAAGAAACTAAGTTTATTAAAGGAATTTTTCTTTTAAAACTCCCACACTTATGTAAATTCAGCATTGGCAAGAAAAACTATTACAATCAAGAGTCGTCTATAGAAGGAAAAGCAATTATTTTACCAAGATTTAATTTCAACTACAACATTTCAAAATCATCCGAACCAATTGCAATCAAGTCAATTCAAGTAAATGAGCTATCTAAAATTAAAGAAGATCAAGAACAAATTCATAAACTCTATGCAAGGAAGACTGGAATTAACAACAACAGCATCGTGTCAATTATCATGTATATAATATTTTTAACTATTATTATTATTTATATCCTGTTCAAGTATTGCAGACAAAGATACAACAAAAAGAAATTACAAATTACTCCAGAAGTAGAGACACCCCAAGAACAAGAGAGCCACAACCAACCACAACCACCAACCTGCACCCCGAGGTTTTTCATCTAGGGCCGGAGGAGTTACGGGATCCATCCCGCTGACATAGCTTATATCTAGCCACAAGATCCTCCTTGCTGATAAAGCATATTTTTAACTATATAAGTAGCAAGATCTTTACATTCGAGAGAGGATAAGGATAAGGATAATCTTTGCCAGTACTTACACCAGTTCAGTTATATAATTATAATTCATTATATCATTATATTGTAAAATTCAGTTATTTTATATATTTTATTGTAATTTTAAGAAATAAAGTTTTTTTTTTATTTTATTCTCGAATAACGAGTATAAAATTGTCGTTTGGCTTGGGTCGCGTTCGGCGTCGCTTGGTTGTATATGCCAAGATGGCAACGGCGTCATGACTTACAAATACAGCTTAAAATTTGCAAAGTACCAAAGCACGTCATACATAAATCTACTCTTTCAGGTAGTTGGATTAATTTCACCGCTGGCCACCAAATGTTGTGACTTGTAAATGCCTGTTAGCATGGGTGTATTACAACATTAAAACACTGAGTTTATTTTTATACATTTATTAAAATTAATACGATGATACTTTTATTTGAAAATTTAATATGAAAAAAAAGGAAATATATTTATATAGTAATCTCAGCAGCGGACTTGTAGACTTCTTGAATGTGATCGCGATAAGGTGTCTCTTCTAGTATCGTCAAGAGTCCACTACTCCTTGTCTAGGCGGATATGTATGCCTTGCCAGATTAGCAATGACAATGTTGGGAAATTGTCATAACATTAGCGTGGAACTATTATTTAAATCTGAAGCACAGACATTACATTTATTTTCATCCTTCATAATTTTTAAGCTATTGTATTAAATTAAAATGAAGCATATAACAAATATGCGGTTAGTTTCACCGTGTTATATTTTTGGCACTATCCGTAACGTTTTTAACTTACCGTAGGGTAAGTTATTATATTTTTTTTTTTATTTTTATTTTATTTGGCCTCTAATAACAATACAGCCACATACATTATTATATTAACAATAGACAGTAATTATATATTTATACCACTTAATCTAATAAAATTAACCAAAATACTATAGCACTTTACACTTCTTAATATTGTAACTAAATTAACTGGTTTTTCTATGCAACTACACTCATGCAGCTTATTCAACATATCTTGTCTGTTCTTCTCAAACAGTCTACACTCCAATATTAAATGTTCACCACTTCCAACTGCTTTACCACACCTACATACATTCGAAGCTGCAACACCTATCCGATGCAGGTGTGATGGAAAGCTTCCATGGTTTAATCTTAACCTCGTTAATGTTACTAAGGTTCTTCTATCCTCAAATTTGAAACTTTCTTGCCACATTCTGCTTCCCACTGCTGGATTGCATATTCTATAATAGGCCCCTCTAGTCTCATTTGGATCGATCCATACTTTTTGCCACTCTTTACAATTTCTATTTTTACACCGTTTTACATAATCCTTGTATGTTGCTACATGCATAATAGATCCATTTTTTGTTGCTTGTTTTGCTAATTTATCAGCTATTTCATTTCCTTTGATTCCTGAGTGAGCCTTAATCCATATTATTTTAATGGTATACCCTATTCTCATCAGCCTAATAATATCGAACCACACTTCATAGAACAATATATCTGATGTCTGAGTTTTGTTGTATAAATTTTGTAGAGTTTCTATACTACTTTTACTGTCGGTGAATATAACTGTCTTCATTATTTTGTGCCTTTGAATTAACTCAATTGCCTTTTTAATAGCAAAAATTTCCGCAGTAAAAATAGAAGCAAAATCAGGCAGTTTATATCCCAACTTAATGTTCAAATTTTCCAAATATATTGCGCAACCCACTTTCTGATCAAGCTTAGATCCATCAGTGTAAATTACATTGTAATCTCTTATTTTTGTCATGTTTATATTAAAAATATCATCAGAAATGCTATATATATCCAGATAAAGTGTATTATAATATGGGTGTTTTGTATAATTAATACCTTCCTCTCTTATTTTATTTACAAAATAGCATGGTTTTTTTCGCTTTTGCCAATACTTATATATTGTAGTGTCTATTGAAATTTTACCTACTTTGTCTATAATTTGATTATCCTGTATTATTATTTTTTTAAGTATGAATTTGTCACAAATGAACTGTCGTCTTAGGTATAAAGGCATCTCTCCACTTTCCACCAAAAGGGCATTAGTGGGAGTGGATCGCATAGCCCCCATACAAATTCTCAAACAGTTATATTGAACTTTGTCCAATACCCTACAGTAAATCGAATTATTAAATGCAATACATCCATAATCAAAAATGGGTCTTATTAGTGTTTTATAAAGATTCAAGGACGTAATAGGGTGTGATCCCCACCATGTACCATTCGTCATTCTCAAAATATTTATTCTTTTTTCTACTCTTTTAATCACATAATCCATGTGTTGTTTGAAAGATAACTTTTGATCAAATATAACCCCTAAGAATTTGTTATATTTTTGTACTTTAATGATGTGATATTTACTATTTATCTTATCCACATGATTAATATTTCTGTGTCTTGTATAAATACCAATTGAACTTTTATTATCTGATAATTCCAGACCTTTCTCTTCCAGCCACACATGAAAGCGATCAATATTCTTACTCATTACCTCACAAGCTTCTTGCAGGCTTGCTTTTTCTACATAAATAACCACATCGTCCGCATACTGCAAAATTTTTGTTTCTGGCTCCAAGATCCCTTCTATATCTCTTACGTATATCGCATATAATAAAGGGCTTAAAATACCTCCTTGTGGTAATCCTTTATATATTTTTCTTGGACCAATTATTTTACCATTTATTCTAAAATATAATTCCCTTTCAAAGATATTATTAGTAACTGCCCTAATAAAATTACATGGTAATCCAATCTTTGACATAGCTTCTGATAATGTTTTAGGTAAAACATTATCGTATGCACCCTTGATGTCACTAAAAAGTGCCACAACATACTTATTTTTCGCAAAGGATATATGTAAGTCACTAATAAAATTACTTAAACTATCCTGTGTTCCCATACCCTTCCTAAAGCCAAATTGACTTTTTGGTAGAATTCCATATTTTTCACTCCACCACTCCAGTCTTCTTTTAATCATTCTGTCCTTTACCTTTGAAACACAGGATGCAAGAGAAATCGGTCTATACGCGGAGATCTCATTCGCATCTTTATTAGGTTTTTTGATTAAAATTGTAATATACTTATTCCAGGCCCCAATTACTTCCGGATTTGTCCATACTTTATTAAACAATTTGAGTAAAATCTCTTTTGCCACTATTGGCAAGTTTATGAGCATAGAATAAAATATTCCATCCATACCTGGTGCGGTATCGGTACCTTTAATTAAAGCAATTTCTAATTCCCACAATGTAAAAGGTTTCACTAATAGGAATGTTTCGCGTCCAAAAACCTTTTTATCCACATTGAAATAATCATTTTTAACACTAGATGGAGCATAAGAATCAATAATATTATCAATCATACTTGGGTTAACGTTTTCTTGTAAATTTTCAGGTTCTATATATTTTTTCAAACATTTAATTGTTCTAAATACTTCCCTGGTAGACGTATTTGGTTTGATATTATTAGTATATTCATGCCAACTATCTCTCTTCTTTCTGCTGAATATCGTTCTGATTTCAGCATTAATATTTTTATATATTAAATAATTATGGTAGTTAGATTTCTGCCTATAATTTTTTTCTGCATCTCTTCTTTTCCTAATAAGTTCGTCGCACTCATTATCCCACCAAATAGGTTTAAAGTGTTTAATATTGGAACATATTTTCTTTTTTGGTATACTTTTCTCCGCTGCAATATTGATTATGTTCATAAATTCTGTATAAGCAACAACCGGGTCATTTACTACAAAATCATTTGAGTAATACTCAATTACTCTTTGGTATTTTGTCCAGTCGGCAGCTTTGCAGTTCCAATATTCCCTAGTTCTATTTATAATAGGTGATTCTTTTAATTGCATAATTATTGGATAGTGATCAGATCCAAGAGAATATTTCCTGACATTCCATACAATTTTATGTGCCACCTCGTGAGTACACAATGTAATGTCTACTACTGTCGAACTATTCTTAAAATTCAAAGTCGGATTCCCGTCATTTAATATAATTAAATTGTTATCATTAATAACTTCCAATAAGTTATTGCCAAACTTATCATTCCAATTACACCCCCATGCCATATAATGAGCGTTAAAGTCATCACAGATTATGTAAGGTTTGGAAATCTGACTTAATAAATCATTCCATTGACTAACGGAAATATTATAGTTAGGTACAATATATACCGAAATTATAGATAGTTGTTGTTTTCCTGCACAAAATTCTATACCAGATATTTGGAATTTATTTATATCAATTGTTCCCATATTAAAAGCTAACACTTTATTTATAATTATTTTATCCTTAACTAGAATTGCAGTACCACCATACCCATCCTTTCTGTCACAGCGCACAGTCTTATATCCCCTGAGCGAAAATTTCCTATCGCTCTTCAACCATGTTTCTGAAAATGTAGCAATATGTACTTTGTTTTCAAATAAGAAATGCTCAATACTACTTTTGTTATGTATCAAAGACCTACAGTTGAATTGTAGAATATTTGTTTCCATAAAATAAATTGTAATTGTGATTGTATAATTTTCTTTTGCACATTTTCCCTGTACTCATTAACCTTAATTTATGTTAATATATAAAAATTTGTAAGCTTTCTTTTGTTGTTGAATTTATTCTATTTCAAACTATTATTCCGTACCTGTATCTTCAATAACATTACCTAATTTATTAGTTTCCATCTTTGCTTTTTCAGTACACAATGATTCTATTTCTTCTTCCAGGGCTGTCCATATATTATCTGTGTTTATCTCTTTATTAAAACTTAATCTTTGCCTTATTTTGTTAAAAATTTCTTTGAATTGTTGCTTCATCTTCTTTTTTTTTTCTTTCTCATCTTTATTTTTATTTGGGTTATTTTCTTCACTATTATATTTCGTTAATTCCTTTCTCCTTTCCTTGTATTCTTCCGAATTTATTCTTTTTTGTCCTCCTTCAATTCTAAATGTCGTGCGCTTAGGTTTTCTAATTTTCAATATATTTTCTTCATTAATTTCTATTTCTTTTTCTTTTATATGATTTAACATTTCAAACTTGTTATTATTAAATCTGTTTAATTGATTCTCTGACTGTTTAATTAATGAAGGAAATACATTTTGATAATCTCTGTTATAAAATTTGGTCTGTACTATATCTGCATATGTTCTCTTACGCAGTATTTGCTTAGCTTCACTTATAGAAATATTCTGATATGCTTTCAGCTCCTTCAATTTTTTATTATATAAATACGTTTGACAATTTCTATCATTCGCTTGATGATTATTTCGACATAAAGCACATATTTCTAATTGACTCACACATTCTTTTACATCATGTTCATCCGAGCATTTTCTGCATCTTTGCCTGCCCTGGCACTGAATCCTAAAATGGCCGAACCTCCAGCATTTGTGGCACTGTATAACATTTTCAATAAAAGGTTGAACCTCGCAAGCCACTGAATGAATAAATACATTTTCTGGAAGATAGCTGCCCCTGAACCAAATCTTTACTCTTTGTGTTTTATAACTGCTGTTATATGCCTTTTTATTTTTAATACACTTCACTTTAATAATTTCAACATCCGTTTTAATGCAACTCATGATTTCATCTTCTTCAATCTCTGGGTCTACATTAAATATAATACCAATTCTCGTAGTTTTATGCTTCGGAATATAAGTTTTAATATTATACTCGTCCAGTAATTTCTGTTTTACCACTGTATTAGCACTCTTCCAATCATTAAAACATATCTTTATTTTATTTATACCTATAGCTACAACATTACTTATCTTATTACTAACACTTGACACTTTTGTATGTAAAATTCTTCCTAACGCCATTGGATGTAGTCTACCTAAATTTTTATCTTTTGATTCTGCATATATAACAAATGGACCTTCGTTCCTTTCATCATAATAGAAAAACTCCTCTTCATAGGTTTTTTTATTTAAGTTACTATCCATTTCTTCATTTACTTCACTTGCCCAATCGATATTTACATCGTTTTCATTAATTCCATTATTATTAATTTTCTCTAACCGTGTTTTGTTAACTTGTACTTCAATTTCACCTTTTTTCCTTATCACACTTAACTTTTCGCGATTCTTATCAAATATTTTATTACTTAACAATCTTCTTTTCTTTCTAAAATCTATTACTCCCTTTTTAATACTTTTCTTATTACTTTTTTTATATTCACAATTTTTCACTAAATTAATTTCACTAACTTTTGTTTCATTAATATTATTATCCAAATCATTTATTTCATAATCACTAATGTCATCCATTTCGTATTCAAACTCTTCTATTGACGTAATTCTGTTATCAACTGGATTCAGTTCACAATCCTCAAAATCATGATGACCACTGTCATCGTCGTCACTCTCCTGGCCGTACTGGCCGGACTCCATTGTTCACTTACTGACTTACTCGCTCTTATCAGATTATATAATTTTATTTACCGATGTGTATCGCACGAATGCTCGATGCAGACTGGTAAGTTATTATAATCGTCCAAAAATCGAAATTGAAAATTTTTGCATATATTCACGTTTCAGAGGTTTTTGAACATTTTGGCATATTTTAGAAAAAAATGGATGTGTGTGTATGTTGTTGTGCACCCTTGAACTAACAACAATTATGTTGAGATCCCAATACTGGTACCAAATGTTGTGGATTCGCCGTTGCCAACAATTATGTTGCGTCACGCCAACGATGTCAACATTTATAATTAGGTTCTTCTGCTGCTATCATAAGCTTTATCACTGTG